AATCAAATTGATGTTGTTTTATCCTTCCAATATCCTGTAACTTTATGGTTTTTCTAGGTAATACCAAACAACTACATGTGTCATGTGTTACCAATCTGCCAGATAACTAGTTTAATCAAATTAATGTTGTTTTATCCTTCTAGAAAAAACATAAAGTTACAACATATAGGTAATACCAAACAACTACGTGTGTCATGTGTTACCCATCTGCCAGATAACTAGTTTAATCAAATTGATGTTGTTTTATCCTTCTAGAAAAACCATAAAGTTACATGATATTAATTAATCAGTGTATAACACTGGATTTTTAGTCATCATGTATATATCATCTTATTCTGGACATGCTCAAATTTCTAAGTTTCTGTTTCTTTACTTATTAACATGCTCTTCCAGATCTGCATTAATGTTACATTATTAAAATAGCCATTCAGCATAATTTATAACAAATGAACAAAACAGCGATCTTGTTCATTATTTTCTAAACAATTCATTATTATCTGCCAGACACATCTTCACATGTTAAGTTTCAATATTTTCTCATAAAAGTAAGAAATTAAAACAAATAATATTAAAATTTGACTTATTAACTACATTTTGATGCCAAGTTTATTCATATACATTGATAATAAAGTAGTTTAATTAAATTTTGAATGTAACTCTGTAAAATGTTGTGGCACGTGCACTTTGACCTAACCGATGCGTAAGGGTTAATAATGCTATGTATCTAGAATAAATCTTTGGCCTTTGGATCATATCATACAGCACATGCTTCGTAGGAGAGAGGTCAAAGATTCAATTATGCCTGAATCCATTTTTTCTTCTAAACAATATTTCAATAGTAAATAATTTTATTACATACGTCATATGTGAAGCTCAAGTTTATGATATTACTGGATACAAGTTGGGCAGAAACTATTTTAGAATGTATGCTTTCATATAAGGTATAAGAAAAGTTGAGGCCCAATAACACTGAAGGTAAAAGAACTGTGATGCACACAAAAAAGGTGACCTGAAATACTGACTTCTTTGTGTTCCAATATAGTCGTATATATATACAAGAAGTTAATCTAAATACACCACATAACTGTCACATCAAAAGGGTAGACTAATATAAAAAATGTGGTCAAACATACAAGCAATAGGCCTAAATTGCAAAAAACGGACTAAAGAAATTAGAGATGAGTGAAACACATAATTATTTACAATGCCAATAGAAATAGCATAAAATAAAAGTAGCTATAATGTACCACAGCTAAAACACCTGCATTACTACTTGTTTGTCACTGAGATAATTTGTCAATATCGCAGAGTTTAATAAAAGTATATCTATGTCACGTGATCAATACTTGCAGCTGTTCTTATTAGGAGACAAAGTCTGTATTATAGATGATGCTGAATTTAATTACAATTTCTTGGTGGTATTTATTGGGTAAAATGGAGTCTAAACTTTTGAAATACAACTTCAGTGGGCTATATTATCAGCCTAAATGAAACGTAACTTGCACTGCAATGTATTTGAAGTTTGATTAATGCTAAAAGTTACAAAATATTTAGTAACTAACACTTACCATCAAATTCAGGAAAATAGTCAATAAGATGTGAGTACATGATTTTTTCTTCCAATAGATCTTTCTTGTTGAGAAAGAGGATGACTGATGAATTTTGAAACCAGGGATATGTTATAATTGTCTTGAAAAGTGCTTTACTTTCTTCCATTCGATTCTAAAAATTATATACATAAAATCAACAATATAACATTACACAGATACAATAATATGGATCTCACATAAAATACTGGAACTACAGTACTTATGACATTACAGTTACAAGTTCATACTGATAAATTGAAATAACGAAAAATTCCTTTGTTGAAAATTACATGAATCACACAAACATTAGCAGATTTCACAAGACAAGCTTAAAAATCTTACTCGTAAATGCCTGTGCTCATGTGACACACATGACTAAACAAACATTTAGTAAAATTGTCCAAAATAAATATAAGCAAGATTATTTATACTTAAAGGCTTGAAAGCACACAAAATGTATGAAAGTAATAAAGAAAAAATAACCCAAGATTTGACAGAATTAAAGTCTTTCAATCTAAAAGCATGTATTCCTATAAAACATATTAAACAAACTAGCATATGAAATAAATTAAAACAAACCCAATCTTGTATGTAAAGGCCAAAACTAGCCATTTCTGAAATAAAAACAGAACAAACTGACAAACAAATAATTAATAAAAAAAAACTCAAATATAGTCATATATACAAGAAGCTAGCCTAAATACATCATGTTTCTTGAAAATGGCAGATTTTATCAGAAAATTACATGTACTTCACAAAAATAACCTACGTGTAGTATGGCATAAATCTAGAAGTTACTTTTTTTTTCATATGTTCCTCATAATAGAGCTGAGAAATTTAATCAATATAATAAATTACCCATGGGCAGTAATTACATTGATTAGCATTACGTGTTGCTAAACAATGTACTGTCTAGGCTGTGCCCATCACAAGTGTCAAAACCTGGTTTTTAGCATTATAAGCTACTGGACTTACCACTGAGCCACTGGGTGATTGTGTGTGTGTGTGGATGTAAACAAATCAGTAAATCAAACAACATTAAGCTGATTAGTGTCACAACAAATTAGCCTTTCATATAATTACTGTTTGATTATATCGATTGTTATGAAAACAACTAAATTAAGATTTTCTTATTATTACTATTATCCACATAACAGAAACAATGCCATTATGTTTTTTATTAAGCTAAAAGGTACACAATCAGTTATCTGTGCCCTGCCCACTGTGGGTATCAGTTTGGGGCCACCATGGCTTCAAGACTCAAGGGTCTTGAGTTCAATTCCAATTGCCACTAAACTTGCTCATATGGGAGAACGTATACCATAGTTTTAGGAACACTTTACTAATCAAGTAATTCAGTAGTAAATATCATTAATCACACAGCTCTACTTCAAATAGTTGTCAGGCTTTGAATAGAACACAAATTGATCTCTTTTTCAAAACTTGTGGACACACTTTCTTCACTGATGACATATTCAAATCAGTATGCATGCTTTAAATTTCTTGAACTTCCATTCTTCCTTTTTTAACCATTGAACACTTTTTTGCAGTCAATCACAGTGTTACATACACAAACTGTTCATTTTAAGTTTAGTACGAAAGTATTGTATAATTTATATTGTACAAGCATTAAAGAAAGTTATTTTTAGAAGCAAAAGTTATGGCAAGTTTGCTTACGTAACTGTTTATTGTTGTATAGTTAAATTGTTGCAGATTGACGTAACATTACTCAAACCTTCTATATTTTTCTCATTGCTTTAAGTGAGTGTTGTTACATTATAATGTCTCATAGTTTGTAGAAAGTTCTAGACTTCAGTTGGGCAACGTATATATAGGTGACCAAGATAGTGAAAGGTAGTTATTGAAAGTGAAAGTAAGACAAAATTAGTGAGATATAGATCTAGACTGTGTTGCAAGTTCAGCCATAAAGAGCATATAGTGGAGACTTTTAAAGTGTTATAATCACAGATTGTATTGTAATAACAGATTAAAGAAGAATAATTCGTCTTATCAATTGGGTTCTAAAGTAACTGAACCAGCCTATGTGAACTTTGATATAAGATGGATGCTTTCCTGGTGAGATATGAAAGATTTGCCCCAAGTCAAAACTGGGACAAAGGCACCTGGGCAGTCTGTCTCAGCCCATTTCTCAGAAAAAGGCCTGCAAGTATATGCAGGCATGATGTCAGAAGATGCCATGGACTATGACAAGTTAAAAGTGACCTTGCTGAAATTTACGGAAGATGTCAAATCTGACACGGGAGAAACTTTATTTCAATTTGTGGCACGTTTACAATGATACTTCACAAGATGGACTGACATGGCCAAATGTGAAAATAGTTTTGATGGACTGGCAGATCTAATACATGAACAATTTATGATCACCTGCTCAACTAACATGTCACTGTTCTTAAAGGAGAGAGCACCAAAAGATGTGGAGGAGATGATCCAGCTGGCAGAACAGTATATGGAAGATCATGGAGAGAGTATAACTGGCAAGTTAAAGTTAAAACCAGTGATAGCTGACCAGAAGCATGAGTCCAGCAAAGGTAACAGAGGGTTAACAGACAAATGGGAGAAAAGATGCTAAATGCATTATAAAACAGGGCACAATGCAAATAAGTGCACGTCAACAGGGTTCTAAAGTAACTGAACCAGCCTGTGTGAACTTTTGATGTAAAAGAGAATTATTCAAAGTTCTGGATACAACTGTGGTAACCCACAAGGTAACATAAGTTAATTTATCACTGATTATATTGTGATAACAGAGCAGGGGAGAATAATTTGCCTTGTCAAAGGGTGATGTAATTTAATTGTAATTTAAAGCTCTACATACAACTGTGATAGCCCATAGTGTAATGAATTTTTGTACATATGTTTCACTTGTTTTGAATATATTATTTTAAAATAAGTGGACTGTGTGTTGTCCATTTATTGATGAAATTTATCACCAACAAGTCACAGACACTTACTGTAATGAATCCGACCCCATACAAAACCTGACACACAGAAATAAACAAGTCTTTTCAGGAGTTACAATACCTCAGTCAATGAATTCTGTTTAATTTTTGACAGGCAACTACTGCGGCTATTTTATATTAAACCATAAAAGTATTATAGATAAGTACCAAAACTGCAATATGTACATTCAGACTTATAAAACAGTAAGCACTGTAAGAAAGATATTTAAATTGCCATTACACAGTAGTATGTAATTTACCACTAGAAGCAAATTTATGACTTTGATATTTTTCATGTTAATTAGAAGTGATGATGATGACCATGTTTAAAACTACACAAAAATTTATTGTCTGTTATTCTGTAATGATCACTGAAAGTGTGAATCATCACACATCATTTGAACACACAAAATGAACTGAAAAAATAATCACTCTGAAGGAAATAAATAAGTATTATGTAACATGCCATAAAAATTACAAAATTTTTTGAAACAAATAGCATGGTGTTATATTTCTATTTAACAAAAACGAAAGGTCATAAAATTCTCATTGCATATAGAAATTGACCACCAAAATGAAAATTACTTAACAATTCTTTGCCATTGCTTAAACATTATACCTTGAAAAGTTTGTTGTTAAATACAAATCTGCACAATGGGCTATCTGTGCTGTGCCCACCACAGGTACTCAAACCTGTTTTTTTGTGTTATAAATCACAGACTTACCAATGAGCCACTGGGGGGCACCTTGAATAAAAATGGAATTACAATTTCACATTCATTAAAAGAGAAAGTTAACAATATAATTACTACAACTCAAATTTAATTTTGTGTATCAGGTTTAAAAGTAAATTTTTATGGTAACAAAAACACTTAATTTACAAATTGTACATACAAATTAATACTTTAAAGTTTTTATTTTATATAATGAATTTTTACCAGTCCACATTGTCAAAAAACTCAATCATATCAAAAGTAAGTGAAATTAGAAACATGTGCCTTATACAGAACAAAAACAAAAAGAAAGAAAGAAGCAAGCTTCTGATAATGCAATAGTTACAAACAATTCAATCTTTCTAACAACAAACTCAGTAATAATAACACTGCAAGATGAAACTAGATACAAATGTGATCGTAATAATAAATTTGTATCTAGTTTCATCTTGCGTGTTATTTTTACCGATGCAAAATGACAAATTGTTTGGAAAATTACTGAAAAGTATCTTCCTGGAAATTATTCAGAATTTTTAATATATATTGTTTAGCAAACTTTAAATACCAGTGAATAGAGATCATGTGTTCTTTTTTTTTCTCCTGAAAATGGTTTTTTGTTAAATTATCTTAAAAGGTATTGCAATTTTTCTTTGTTAACAATACATACTGTAAGCCTTATTAGATTTGGAGGGTTTGATGGCAACAGCAAAATATTAAAGTGACTCAACTCCATATTTTTTTAATATTATTAAGTTTATTGCATTCGCACAATGAACATAAATAGCTTATTATTTATTGAAAATAAACTATGTTTATTAGATACAAATTTATCTCAATCTGTTTTCAAAACTACTGTTACTAAGCCATCTCTTATGTTATTCTTAACGGTCAGGTAAACAATAAATACTTGTAAGTTTTTTCAGTGTTTTTATTATCTAGATATGAAAGGACCAGATTCTTCTTTTAAAATCATCATATGCAGATTAAATATTAACTTATCATTGCTGTCAGCAAGGTTATATCAGTTCTACTAAAACAAAACTGTCAATGCAAGTGATAAAGCATGCTAACCTAAGATCCTCCATTAAGTCAAGCATACTCAACCATGTTGAATGATCATGTGACATTATCATTCATTCAAATTTATTAAAGATCTTAGACAGGCAAATGATGAACAGTAGCTCTGAATAAAATAGAGTTTACTATCCACAAGCTGAAGCCTAAGATAAATGTGGTTGGAATGGCTAGTAAACTACTTTTGGTACTATAAACAAGCAGTCTTTCATAAATATCACCAGGTGACAACTACAGCTGAGTGACGTAATCAATTATCTAGGAGCAGAGTTTGCATCAGTTAGTATCCAATAAACTAACTGATTAATAAGAATTATGATTAATTGATGAATGTGATAAAAATAATCAAAATTACTTGTTCCAATTATTAGTTTTCAACTATTCCAACAATCCAAAAAGGCTTTAAAAACATATCACTTGTTTTTTCTATAAACAAAACTAATACTCCAACAACTGATTAATCAAAATTATGATGAGTCAATTATCCCAAAAATAATCAACTAATCGAAATTGGGAGTTTTTGATTATTCTGAATATCCACGAATTCAAAATATTGTCATTTATGTTTGTTTGTTGTTAAACATGAAGCTACATAATGGACAGCCTCTTCATCATTCAGCAGTAAGTTTGAAGGCTTATAATGCTAAAAACTTGGTTTAGCTATCTGTGGTGGGCATAGCACAGATAGCCCATTGTGTAGCTTTCTTGGGGGAGATGCTTTGTGATTTAAGAGTCTCGGGACCAATCCCCTTTGCCACTAAATCTATTCTTCCTATTTTTGTTATACCAAAGCTACTAAGGCTATCTGCCTCTGTCACTAATTTTGAACTGCTGACTAAAGGGAAGGCAACTTGCTAAAAGCAACCACTACCCACTCTCTGGCTACTTAAGTGTAAAATAAAGTGTAAATTTATTATTATTCTATTTTACATGGTGTTACGTTTCTAATATATAACTAGAAAACTAAAGTCTTTAATGCTGTATAAGCAGGTGCAGATCTGGAGCTCAGATCCCTGTACGTTTTTGTTCCAGAAATTAATGACAAATCCAATTTTGAACTGTTTGGCAACAATAAACTAGTTAGTTTGATGGTATCATAGTCAACATGTACAGTAACACATGGTGAGGGATCAGTACAAACTTGATGCTGCACCTCAGCTAATGGTGTTAGTGATCAACACAAACCTACTGACAAGTACTGGCAGATTCTGGTTCATCATGCCAAACCCTCAGGAACACGACTTATTAACCCGGAATTCATCTTCCAACAAGACATTGTTCCCAGTCATTTGGCTAATGGAGTTAGTGATCTACACAAACCTAATGACAAGTAGTGGCAGATTCTGGTTCATCATGCCATACCCTCACGAATACAACTTATTAGGAAGGAATTCATCTTCCAACAAGACATTGTTCCCAGTCATTCGGCTAATGTGGTGAAATGATACATTGATGATAAAGAAGTCAGTGAGCACACAATCTTAGCTTAGCCTGCACAAAGTGCCGATATGAACATTATGGAGGCTTTACTAAGAATGCCAAAAAAACTTGGATGAATTGTGTGGAATAATACAGGACATTACCAGCCAGTATACTTGTACACTGTTAAATAATATGAAACAATACATAATGCTCTATGAAAAGCAAAGGATTCACTAACAAGAAGTTTTACAACTTATTCCTTTTCTTTTGTATTTTCTGTGATAATGTTTTGTATCATTCATAAGTTCACCATCTTTCTGCCATTACTCACTGTTTGTGACCCCCCTATATGTACTGTTTATGTGCTTCCATAATTATTTCCACACACATGTATAACAGAAAGGTCTTGATATTAGTATATAGTCATCTACTAAAACATTTATCCTAACAATCTGCTTTTATTCCCACAGTACAAGTTAAACAGAAAAACTAAGAAAACATATAATTTTAGAAAAGGAATGATTAATAAAGATGGTGGCAATTTGTGGAAGAGAGGATGTGACAGGTGGGCATGGCAGTTGGGTCTGATTTTCTGGTTTACAACTCTGTAAACAAAGGTTGAAGGCTATAAAAATTAACTTTGCCTTAGCAACATATATATTATAATGAGTAATTTTAATTAAATAACATATTTCAGACAGGAGTGTTAAATAAATTAGAAAAGGTGGAAGAACTAGATTCTCATACCAGAGAAGATTTATTCAAATATTTCTTTATAAGTTTAAATCTTATGTAATATTAAAATTTGATTCATCAACTGTTTTGAATGTCAAGATTATTCATATACAATGATAATAAAGTAGTTAGTATTTAAATTCTGAATGTAACTCTCTAAAATGTCATGACATGTGCACTTTAACTTATCCATAGTGAGAGGATTAATGTAGTACTTTTGATGCGAGTCTCCTTCACTAAAATAACTTGTTTCATTGGTAATGGATCATCATACACATCTTAATAATATTTCACAGAGAAGGGTTTTTAATCCTTTAGCACTTTCAAGACAGGCTCGTTATAAAATACACAAGTTTGTATAGACATTTGCACACATTAAGTATTTATACTATAACTTTTAATGCAGTAAGTGTATCTTCACAAAACTTCGTAGACTTTGAGTAAACAATACAAGTCTTTTGTACACAAATAATCAATTTTTAAATGAAGTATTTTTACAAAAGATTTGTTTGTGAATATATCAAGTCTGTTTCGTTACTAGTCTGTGTGCAAAGTGATTTTCATGTTATGAATAAAAAATATTCTTTGTCCCAAAAATCTCAAGTATCATTTATGTAATCTCTAAAAAACCCTAAATCCATTTCAAACATTTGTTTCCAGTAAAAATATTTTATCTGTTATTTCCTGTACCCTAATTCTATACAGGGTCAGTTAATTTGACCAACCTTGAAACCACCAAATTACACTAAATTACAGTTTTTCCCACTAGAATGACTTCAAATTGTAACATGACACTACATTTGCTTATCCTAAGTAGCTTTAAACTCATAACTTATACTTAAATTTTATTGTTTTATTGCTCTATGATTGTCCTTTGAACAACAACTACTACTAATCATGACATTATAAGTTGTAAGTCACTTGGGAAACATGGAGCTCATGTTACGCTATGAAATTATCATACATTATCCACAAGCTACTCTGAGTCGAAGCTGCTCTCTTGCATGTGTCATGAAACATTTTTATCATTATATTGTTATTTTATCTAATATAACCTTAACTAATTTAAAGAGATCCTTGATTTTACATTTTAGTTACTTTTATAATAATAAATAAATAATAAACATGAAAAACAAGAAATGAAGTACTTACCTAAGTTTTCTTTTTTTTGCTGTCAACTGTAAATGACACTTAACCTTACTTTTATATATATATACTAATGATAGTAGTGCACTAAATAATTTTTATTTAATTAAATAATGTACCAAAGAACATAGAATAATAATAACATGCAAAAAGCAGACAATTTCCCCAAACTACTACTATTTTTCTGGGTTTCTAAATATGTGACAAAAACCGTTACAAATTCATCCAAGCTAGTCGTTATCTTTCTCATGGGAATGAAGCTTGTACTAACTGAGAAATTGACAGTTCGTTGTTCGGAAAACAAAGTAATATAATACGTCATTTGATAGATGAAAATCTTGTCTTTCTATTGATTATACATAATATAGAATTAAATGTAAGAGAAAACTATTAACAAATCCTGAAAGAGAGGATGTGATATATGGGTGTGGCAAGAGGGGTTTGATTTTCTATTTTATCGGTCTGTAACCAAACAAAATTGAAGCCTATAAGCATTATGGTTTGTCTGAGTGATGACAATATTATAACAAGTAATTTACATTAAAATTTTTATTTATTGGAGGTGTGGGAAATAAAATAGAGAAGAGAGGATATCTAGAGAAAATATGTCACATTTCTCACATTAGGGGAGATTCAGGATTTTTTAAAGTATTGCCATATAAAATTAAGAACTTAAAACTTGTATACTATTACAATATGGTTGATTATTTGATTTTATGGTATAATAATTGGTATAACATAAAAAAAATAAAATAATTAAATTATATTTTGAAAATAACTTACTAACAGACCATCACATATGCAGTTAGACCCATCTGCCATAAAAGGGTTAAATAGCTCTATAGAGACTTTTAGAGTTACTCATAACAACACTTTCAACATTAACAATTAAGAAACTATTTATTTATGAAGAGAAAATTGTTTATGCCTTTGTCCTACCTCATTATCCGACTCAAAAAGAATTTGATCATATTCACTTAAGGCGACCAGGAAGATAATAGAGGTGACGTTTTCAAAGCAATGAATCCATTTTCTTCTTTCAGATCTTTGACCACCGACATCAACCATTCTGAAGGAAAAGGAGAGGGTGTCATTATAAACACTGCATTATTGTTGAGTTCAACAACTATATACCTGTAAATAAAATACTTCTTAGAGGATCACTTATTTTATTTTCACGAATGTATTAAAACTTCAAAGAAAACATAACTGTAGATATTACACAATCAATTTTAAAATGTTTTGTCCTTGCCTTAAAAATGGACATAAAGCATACATTTCCTTACAAATGTATAATAAATGACTAGGAATATGCTTATCTTACTATAGTTATGAAACTTAGAAAGCAAAAGATTGAAGTGCAGTTGCAATATGCATTTCTGAGTACTTTATTAGTCTTAAAATTAGAAAAAAATTACATATAACGCCAATACAAAAACAATTCTATACACAAAAGTGAATGAATATTTTTTCAGAGAAAAAAGAATAAACACGTATGACAAATATTAATAAAAGTATGTTTAAATCAAACTATCATAAGTCTAATGCCAATCTCAGAAACAGAATATGATAAAATTATTAAATAAGATTAAGGAGAAAACTGTATGAAGCAAAAAATACAAATTGTATGCACAATAAATAAAAACAGACAAAACAAATTATTTCCTTTAAAAAATATAAATATATACATTTTTTTTACTTTTCTTCATACCTAAGCTTTAAATAAACAGGTAAACATTTATATTGCTTATTAATGCACTAACCTAAAAATAATGGAGTCAAGATCAAATGGGTACTCAATAATGCCTGTTGTAGGGACTCGAACCCTAAGAATGTCTTGCAGAGTAGGAAGATAGCCTGGTGCTGCTATTCTGTCAATGTCACTTAGGTAACTGAAAATAATCATTGGATTAATAATACTATGTGAAATAACTTTATTCAGGTCTATTTTACAAGAGTATTCATAAGTAAACTGATAAATTAAATAGACTGTGTGTGTGTGAGCAGCCTTAGTCATAAAATGATACTCAGTAAGATCCATTCATACTTCTAGTGACATGAATATACACTGGTTCACTTTTTGCTGTATTTACAAAATATGAAAATCACAGCTCTTATAATGTTACTAACACAGGATTTCTTCCTCAACCAGAGGTACATTGATGATAGCGATCAAACATAAAAAAAACTGGGATTTATCCAATTTTGGTAAAACTTGTGCAGGATGTAGCTTACAGTTAGATATGATGATTAAAATTAAGTTTCCAAACTGGACAAATTTAACCAAGTTATGATTGGCCACATTGTCAGCAGAAACTCCATAGTCGATGATGGTATATGTTGTGTAACCAAAGGGTCCGCTACATAAACTTTCTTCTTCATTGCCCATCATTACATCCGTTTTCCAGACCAATAAATCTTCAGCAGATAGTCCAAGCCCTGCAGGCTATGACTTACACTTTGCTACTCTTTGGCATGCTACCATAAATTAACATTATTCCCTCAATTACCTGCATGTGTAAGATTCTGAAATGTTTGACTTGATACTTATGCAGCCACTGTGGATGCAATCATGATGGACTTTTTGACAGCCCTAGTTGAGGCAAATACATCTATCAAGTTCAAAGATACCATGGCAGCACTCAAAAACAGGTTTGATGATGATAAAGATAGTAGTGATGATAGTAGTAGCCTTCCACCAGATCAGAAGATTATGAACAAAGACACCAACCTCAAAATTAACATGAATAAAGGTCACATAATATGATTTGAGAATAAAAAAGAAAAAGAGTAAATCAATTGCATGTGTGACCATTGCTAGTAAAATGGTGCGGTTAATACAAAACTATGTTTTTTTTCAAATGCTTAGTGCTCATAACTCCCAACTGAAATATGCTACCATTATTGGGAATGTATATTTGAATACAGCAGATTCCAGAGTTTCCTACAGTGTATACAACACCTCCAAGAAACAATTACTATAATTTCTTATTCCTCACTCCACCACCAAAAACACTACTTCGCTTTTAGTTGAGTGTTAAATATATATATATAAGAGCACAAAATTAAAAGGTGGTTGATGACAAATGCTCCTAAAAATCACACAAATTTACAAGGATGTGCCCAGTTGGCACAAAAAATATTGTAGCAATTATTTCATACTAAATAAAACATTGCATTTCTGGCAGTTATAACAAGAAATGAACTAGTTCTGAACATAAATAATATTTGCTATTGTTGCACAATGAATTTATAATTTGGTGGCCAAAACCATTGCAAATGCAATAACTTACATTGCCCACTAACTCGTAGATCACTTAGCAGATTTCTGTTAGGTTGACAAACAAACAGTTGTATAACTATGATTCACATCAATGTAGCACATTTAGAGAAAGTTAATGGGATAACCTGTCGAACAGTCTACCTCAGCCTATACTAAAGTCATGTAGATGTACAGTGCTTTGCAAAAGTATTCACCCCAACAATAATGACACATTTTGATGAAATACAAATAATGTAAACAATTTTTTTAATGAACTTCTTTTTATTCAAACCTCTAATGATCAAATTTAACACTGTTATGTGTGAAGGAGGTTGAATGTCAGCAAAACCTGCAAATAAAATATATAAATTGAAACTTGCTGATTGTGAAAGTATTCAGCCCCCTAAGGTAGTACTTAATGGAAGCACCTTTGGCAGCAATTACTGCTGTGAATCATTTTGGATAGGTTTCTACCAGCTTTGCAGAATGGATGGTGTAATTTATGTCTATTCTTCCTGGTGAAATGGCTCCAATTTTGACAAGTTCGTTGGGGATCATTGATGAACTACAATCATCAAGTCTAAGCCATAAATTTTCTATTGGATTCAAATCAGGACTTAGAATGGGCTACTCCAGAACATCCACTTTTGTATTTTGAAACCACTACAGTGTGGCTTTGGTCTGGCGCTTTGGGTCACTGTCCTGCTGAAATTTGAATTTTCGACCCAGTTTTAAATTCTCAGCTGACTCAAGCAGGTTTTTCCTCTAGGATTTGACTGTACTTTGCACCATCCATTTTCTCCTCGATCCTGACAAGATTCCTAGTCCCTACTAATGAGAAGCATCTCCATACCATGATGCTGTCACCACCATGATTGACAGTTGGGGTGGTGTTGATTGGGTGATGTGCTGTGTTGGGCTTGTGCCAAACGTAATACTTTGAGTTTAAACCAAAATGCTCAATTTTTGTCTTGTCTGACCACAAAACCTTCTGCCTCATGTCTACTGTATCATTTACGTGCTTTGTGCCAAACTCTATAGAAGATTTAAGATGATTCTTTTTTTTTAGTAATGGCTTCTTTCTTGCCACTCACCCATACAGGACAGCTTTGTGTAGGGACTGGGATACTGTTGAAGTATGAAAACTGACTCCCACCTCAGACACGGAACTTTGCAAATCTTTCAAAGTCACTGATGGCTTCACAGTGGCATCCCTAACCAGTTTCCTGCTTGCTGGCTGCTTAGTTTGGAAGGGCAGCCTGATCTGGGTAGTGACTGGGTGGTATGAAGCACATTCCACTTCATAATGATGGACTTCACCGTACTCAAAGGGATAATCAGTGACTTTTGAAATTTTCTTGTAACCTTCTCCTGATCTGTGCTTGTGTACCATTTTATCACTGACTTTTTTGGAAAGTTCCTTGGTCTTCATGTGAGTTGTGGCTTGAACAGATGCATTTACTCTGAAATCAAGTTAAACCACTCTGATTATACACAGACAGAGACCATTACACTAATTTTGTGACCTTT